GACGTACGGAACCTCATTGGGAGGCACAAATGCTGGCTGACAAAAACTCTCCTGGCAATCTTCACTGAGCCTGGTCACATGCTTGGTCACCTACATATATACATAAATGATGAGCGAAGCCTAGTGAATAATAACAAAGTAAATATTTAATGAATGGTGTCCCATATCAGATTTCAGATCTGAAACAAATTCAGACCCACATACTGATCCAGAAATCATAAGCAGATATTTGTAGTACATTCATTTAACTATCATAACATATCAAATTTGCATAGTCGGTACCGACGACCACATGGGTCCACACCTTGTGCACAAGTAGCCGTAGCCATGGTATTGTTACCCGTAGGTGAGGGCCACGTAAGTATAGGCCTTGGTATTATTACCCTCGGGCAAGGGCCATGTGAATATAAGCCATAGTATTGTTACCCCTGGGTGAGGGCCACATGCATATGGACCGCAGTATTGTTACCACCAGGTGAGGACGACGTGAATATATGATGCCACAATTACTTATCAGGAAAATGGATATTCATTCATGATTCACAAAATAGAATTTCAAAAAACAGATCATTTCATATCATCATAAAATAGTCGAAGTTAAACATAATATTACAGAGTTATTACTCACAAATGGCTCTAAAGCAAACAAACATAGTAGGCAGATCAGATAACTTACGGTGCGTGACCTACACAAATACAGAACGAATACGTACAAAATCACACACCTAGAATTGTAACTTAGTTCTTTTTTATATTGGTGTGTTCTACCTCTTTTTCTCATTATTTTGTCTTAAATAGGGCTTAGGAATGCCTAGGATGCAATGATGACGCCAAAATGTGATTCATAACACTTAGTCAAATTTGCTGAAAACAGGAGTCTCGCTCGAGCGCAACTTCCTTTGCTCGAGCAGATGTCCAAACATGTGAGTGGTTGCTTGAGTGCAACTTTCTTCGCTCGAACAGTCTGTAAACTCTGCAAAAGTACTAGTTGTGTGAAATTTTCACTCGATGACCGCTCGACGGTCACTCGAGCATGTGATTGAGGTCTTCGCTCGAGCCCAACTATTGTCGCTCGAGCAGTCTGCAAAACTTGTAAACTTCTAGAAGCATGCATTTTAGGTTTGAGCCAACTAAAGGTCGTTTGAGTGGAGGTGCAAATCATGGAGTGGCCGCTCGAGCGCGGGATCTGTCGCTCGAGTGGAGAGGTAAATTTGGAATTTCCAGATTGCTCTGCCAAGTGAAAATTTCAATTTCAAAGCTGCAAATCGGTCTTTTAGGCTAAAAACTTGAAGAAACTTAGGGAAACACTTGTAAATGGATAAAATATGGTGAATTCGAAATCATTTTACAAAATCAAGGCCCAAAATCTTGCCAATTGTGCAAAACAACACTCAATTCTTTGAAAACATAACATGTATGCTTTATCTTGACTTTAAAGCTTCCAAAACATGATCAATTAAGGTCATGTGGTAAGAAATGTGATGAATTCTCAAAACAAGGCCAAGATGGACACATGCAAGTATGACTTGAGTGAAATTCAAATTCAAAATGCCATGATATATGCATGCAAGCATGGAATGATCCTCCTTTCTAATTCATTAGCTCATCTCTTGCATAACTTAGCTTAATTCTCAATAATTCTTGTATTAATGTCTTGATTACAAAGTTTAAGGACAAAATTCTTACCTAGAGTCTTAATTGCACAAGTGTAGAAACTTCAACTCCTAATTTGTTTGCAAGTCTCCAACAATTCCTAACAATTCCCCATTTTCCTGGCTTTGAACTCAATTTTTCTTCTATCTCTCTCTCTCTCTCACTCTCTCCCACGTTTTCTTAACAAGGTAGGGTGATAGGAAGTATAGAGTGAGCTAATGAGTTCATATGGGCCTTATATAGGCTCAGTTTGCGGCTTAGTTAAATTTTGATTAAGCTACTCAATTAGACATTAATTATTCTAATTTAATCGTTCTGAATCAAATTTTAATTAAACCTACCAAAATGTTCTAAAAATCCTAAATGGCACATAAATCAAGTCAATTTCGTAATCGGATGTCGATAAGGCCTTTAATTCATAGAACGAAACAGAAATACAAACATATATTTCTACGATAAACAGATATAAGCACAATAATGCAACACACACATGCAATTAATAATTACTGATTAGGCTTATTTAATCATGAATTAATGTTAATCAGAGGTCGGGGTTTTTATAGTCTTCCCCCCTTAAAGAGTTTGGCCCTCTAAATTACCTTCGGTCTGTATGAATATCGGATCCAGAAGGAACAATTCAGGGTATCTCTTTATCATATCTTCTTCTGTTTCCGATGTTGCATAAGTCCCTCCGTTGTTTTTCTAATCAACCTTCACCAATGGTATTTCTTTGTTCCTCAATCTCTTGATTTTGCAGTTTACAACATGAATTAGCCTTTCTTCATACGTATAGTCATCTTTCAAAAGCATATGGGTTGGTTCAATGACATGTAACGAATCTCTCAAATAATCCCGAAGCATAGAGACATGAAAAACATTGTGTATATGTTCCATGCCTAGCGGTAAAGCTACCTGATATGTCACCAGGTTGATTTTCTCAAGAATTTTATATGGTCCAATATATCTCGGTGCCAACTTGTTTTTTACCCCAAACCGCATTTGCCCTTTCATAAGAGTCACTTTGATAAATACATGATCCTCGACTTCATATTCTCGATCTCTTCTTCGGACATCCATGTAACTCTTTGGGCGGCTTTGTGCAGTTTTCACTCTCTGTTGAATTAATTTCACAGTTTTAGTTGTTTTTTGTACTAGTTCCGGTCCCAATAAAGGTCTATCACCTACTTCAGCCCAACAAATCGGAGAACGACATTTCCTTCCATATAGAGTTTCGTAAGGAGCCATCCCAATACTTGAGTGATAGCTATTATTATACACAAATTCAGCCAATAGTAAGTAGGTCTCCTAATTGCCTTGTAAATCTAGGGCTCACATTATGAGCAAATCCTCTAGAGTCTGATTGGTTCGTTCAGATTGGCCGTCTGTCTGTGGATGGTAGGCACTACTCAATCACAGTTTAGTTCCCAAAGCCAGTTGTAAACTCTGCCAAAATCTTGATGTAAACTTCGAGTCTCTGTCAGATACAATGGATACTGTACACCATGTAGTCTTACAATCTCATTCATATAAATGTTAGGCAACTTGTCCATGTTATAAATAGTTTTAGCAGGCACAAAATTGGAAAACTTAGTTAAACGGTCAACAATAACCCAATTAGAGTCGATACCTCGAGAAGAGCGAGGCAGCCCGATAATGAAATCCATGGTAACCATTTCTATTCTGGTATTGAAAGCGGTTGAAGCAATCCAGCAGGTCATTGATGTTCAGCTTTAACTTGTTGGCAATGCAAGCATTTAGCCACGTAGTCAGCAATACTTTTCTTCATTTCAGGCCACCAGAAATTCTATTTCAAATCATGGTACATCTTTATATTCCCCAAATGTATAGCAAATTTAGAGTTATGGGCTTCATTCATAACACGTTTTCTCAAATCAAAACAATCTGGTACACAAAATCTATTCTGAAATTTCAACACATCGTTTGCCAACACAAATCCCAACCTTGGTTTTGATTCTATTTCATCCATAATCTTTTTCAGGAATTCATCTTGCAGTTGTTTCTCTCTAATCTCTTCAATGATTGCAGGTTGAGCAGAAATGACGGCCAAGATCCCGCCTTGTTCCCGCAACACAATTTCAGTTTTATTCTTCTCCAAGTCATGCAACAACTCTCTCTAATCGGTGAGCAAACATGATAAATTCCCAATAGATTTTTGGCTCAATACATTTGCAACGGTATTTGCTTTTCCTAGATGATACAGAATTTACAAATCATAGTCCTTGATCAATTCCAGCCATCTTCTCTGCCTCATATTCAGTTCTTTTTTTGGTGAAGAAATATTTCAAACTTTTATGATTGGTATACACCTCACAAGTTACTCCATACAAATAATGACGCCAAATTTTCAAAGCAAAGACTATAACTACGAGTTCAAGGTCATGCGTCGGATAGTTCTTTTCGTGTGTTCGGAGTTACCGAGAGGCATAGACAATTACCTTCCCATTTTGTATTAGCACACAATCTAAACCTTTATAGGAGGCATCATTGTAAATCTAAAGCCCATCAGTTCCGTTAGGCAAGGTCAGAATTGGTGCGGTTACCAATCTGGTTTTCAATTCTTGAAAGGCTGACTCTTATTGATCGTTCTAGTCAAATGGTAGATTTTTCTATGTCAACTGTGTTAATGGCAGTGCAAGTTTCAAGAAATCTTTCACAAATCTTTTATAGTAGCCAGCAAGTCACAAAAAACTCCTCACTTCTGACACGTTTGTCGGCCTAGGCCAATCCACAATAGATTTAATTTTTTGCGGGTCAACAGAGATACCATCTTTGTTGATTACATGCTCCAGAAATGCCACACTGTTAAGCCAAAATTTACATTTGGAAAATTTTGCACATAACTTATTCTCCCTTAAGGTCTATAAAGCAATTCTCTGATGATTTTCATGTTCCTTCATGCTTTTAGAATAAATCAATATATCATCAATGAACACAACAATAAACTCATCAAGGAATTGTTTGAACACTCTATTCATTAAGTCCATGAATGCTGCAGGTGTATTAGTTACCCCAAATGGCATGACTAAGAATTCATAATGTCCGTATTTAGTTCGGAAAGCGGTTTTCTCAATGTCTTCTACTTTCACTTTCAGCTGGTGATATCCAGATCTAAGATCTATTTTAGAGAACACTTGTGCTCCTTAAAGTTGGTCAAATAGGTCATCTATTCGGGGTAGTGGGCACTTGTTCTTGACAGTCACTTTGTTCAATTCACGGTAGTCAATACATAGCCTCAAAGACTCGTCTTTCTTTTTGACAAACAACACTGGCGCTCTCCAAGGTGAGGTGCTCAGACGGATGAATTTCTTGTCTAAGCGTTGTTGGAGCTAAATTTTCAACTCTTTTAGTTCAGAAGTTGACATTCTGTATGGGGTTTTGAAAATCGGTTGTGTTTCGTGTACAACATCAATTGTAAACTCAATTTCCCTATCAAATAATTCTCTAGGCAATTCAGTTGGAAATACATCAAGAAATTCATTTACTATAGGGATGTTCTCTATAGTGGGATTATCAGAAGCCATAGTCAAAACACAACACCTATACCCTCTATATCCCTTCCTAAGCAATTTAACAACTTTCATGGCAGAAATCAAGTATGGGGGAAGACCCACCCCATTCCCAATAAACATAAACTCAGGTAAACTATGTGGATGAAATATAACAGACTTATTCACACAGTCAATAGTTGCACAATACTTTGTTAACCAGTCCATACCCAATATGCATTCAAAATGATCAATTCCTAAAGGCAATAAATCAACATACAACGTCACATCACCAATCACAATATCACATGATGGATACAAATATGCACATACCATAGAACCCCCAGATGGCGTAGATATAGACAATAAATAATTCATGGATTCTAAGGGTCTAGTTAATTTTCGAGAAAAAGCATGTGACACAAATGAGTGTGTGGAACTAGAATCCATTAAGACATGTGCATCGTGGGCACAAATAGAAATTATACCTGACACCACAGACTCGATGTTCTGCACATCTCCGGGCACTAGAGCGAACACTCTCCCTTGCCTTAACGTTTTATTTCCAGTGTTACCCCTGGCATTAGTTCTTGCATTTAACCTTGCTACGAAAGCAGACCCGGCTGAACTTGCCATAGGACGGTTAACATCATTAGATCTCATCAGACAACCCCTAACCATGCGGCCAATATTGCCACACCGAAAACACGCACCTGATGCACAGTAACATGCACCTTTATGCTTCATTCCGCAATCGGAACAGTTTGGAATAGAGAGACTATTCTGACTAGAGTTACTAGAGGATCCTGTATTCTGCCTTTTTGGAAATGACCAACCCCTCTTGAAATTAAATCTGGATCTTTTACCCTTCCATTCAGTTGTTGGAGCTAGAGCTTGTTTCTTTGCTGCCAAAATGGCCTCTGCCATCAATGCTCTATCAAGTACTTTCACATATGTAGGCAACTTTAGGACGCCTACTAGATCAAACACGTCCAGATCCAATCCCCCATCAAATTTCCAAGCCTTTTTGTCATCTATGTCAACCATATGAGGAGAAAATCTGGCCAACTAAGTGAACTTAGCCTCATACTTGGCTACAGACATCTTGCCTTGCTTGAGTTCTTGAAATTCTGACACTTTCTGATCTTTGAAGCATTGGGGAAAGTACTTGTTGTAGAAGATTTCATTGAATTGAGCCCATGTCATGTTCCCATTGCTATCGCAAATTAACAACCACCATCTTCGCGCTTCATCTTTTAAAGTGTAGGTGGGCAAAAAGACTTTTTGTGTCTTGGAGCACGGAATACTTCAAATAGCTTTTCCATTTCCAGTAGTCATGTTTCTACCTTTAGGGGTTCAATACCCCCAAAGAAGGTTAGTGGTTTCATCTTCAAGAATTTTTTAGTGAGGTTGATTATGTCATTATTGTCCGGTTCAACTTGCACTGGTGGAGGCGGGGGAGGTAAAGGTTGTTGCCTCTGTTGTTGTGTCATTGCTTCAGTTAAGGCTACGAGCATTTGTTCCATTCGGCTCATTCGAGCCTCAGAGGACCCTGCTGTATCATCACTTCTTGTATTTTCCATTGCTATAGGGAAACGGGAGAACAATAAACATAGGCAAATAGTTCTTTTCACAATGTTCGGAACATTCACTCCCAGTTCATTCGTTTTAATTTCATGTGTTCATGTTCAGATACAGTTTTTCTCATGTACAGAAATTAATACACACCCACACATGCAAATGGAATGCCCTTAACTCTTACTAGGACATCCTATAGCTCATATGGACTCATGTGTGCAGTATAACTCGGGCTCTGATACCACTTTGTCACGACCCAAACCCGCCTCTATAGGTTTAGTTTCGTAACCAGCCAGTAATCTTTGGATTACCAAAGGCCTCTAAACATCATAACTTATAATTAGGGGCTGCAGAAGCAAATAAAGAAACATACATAGTCCATTGAGTTGTGGATGGGACAAAAAATTTTTAAACCTTATACATATAGACATAACGTCATAATGTAGCAGTCTTACGTAACATTGATTACAAATATAGCCAAAAGTGACTTAGCCCAATATACAGTTAACAGGAAACTTGTTCATAATCCGGAGAGAAAACAAAGTCGTATACGTTCACAAAACATGACCATAAGACGTACGGAACCTCCTCGGGAGGCACAAAGGCTGGTTGATAAAAACTCTCTAGGCTGTCTTCACTGAGCTTAGTCACACGCGTGGTCACTTATATATATACATAAATGATAAGCAAAGCCCAATGAATAATAACAAAGTAAAGAGTTTAATGAATGATGTCCCATATCAGATTTCATTTTAGAAACAAATTCGGACCCACATACTTATCCAGAAATCATAAGCAGATATTTGTAGTACATCCATTTAACTATCATAACATATCAAATTTGCATAGTCAGTACCGATGACCACATGGGTCAACACCTTATGCACAAGTAGCCATGGTATTGTTACCCTCAAGCAAGGGCCACGTGAGTATAGGCCTCAGTATTGTTACCCCTGGGCGAGGGCCACGTGCATATGGACCACAGTATTGTTACCCCCGGGTGAAGGCTATGTGAATATAGGATGCCACAATTACATATCAGGAAAATGGACATCCATTCATGATTCACAAAATAGTGTTTCAGAAAAAAGATCATTTTATATCATCAGAAAATAGTTGAAGTTAAACGTAACTTTACAGAGTTATTACTCACAGATGGCTCCAAAGCAAACAGACTAAGTAGGCAGATCAGATAACTTACTGCGCATGACCTACATAGATATAGAACGAATACGGACAGAATCACACACCCAAAATCGTAACTTAGTTCTTTCTTATATTGGCGTGTTCTACCTCTTTTCCTCATTATTTTGTCTTAAATAGGGCTTAAGAATGCCTAGGATGCAATGAGGATGCCAAAATGTGATTCAGAACACTTAGTCAAATTTGCTGAAAATAGAGTTTTTACTCAAGCAGACGTCCAAACATGTGAGTGGTCATTCGAGTGCAACATCCCTCGCTCGAGCAGTCTGTAAACTCTGCAAAAGTACTGGTTGTGTGAAATTTTCACTCGACGACCGCTCGACCATCTCTCAAGCATGTGATTGAGGTTTTCACTCAAGCGCAACTATTGTGGCTCGAACGGTCTGCAAAACATGTAAACTTCTAGGAGCATAGATTTTATGCTCGAGCCAACTAAAGGTCACTCGAGCAGAGGTGCAAATCATGGAGTGGTTGCTCAAGCGCAAGATCTGTCGCTCGAGTGGAGAAGCAAAATCTGAAATTTTCAAATTGCTCTACCAAGTGCAAATTTCAATTTTAAAGTTGCAAATCATGGTCTTTTGGGCCAAAACTTAAGGAAACTTGAGGAAACACTTGTAAATGGATAAACATGGTGAATTCAAAATCATTTCACAAAATCAAAGCCCAAAAGCTTGCCAATTGTGCAAAACAACACTCAATTCTTTGAAAACATAACATGCATTCTTTATCTTGACTTCAAAGCTTCCAAAACATGATCAATTAAGGTCAAGCGGTAAGAAATGTGATGAATTCTCAAAACAAGGCCAAGATGGACACATGCAAGTATGACTTGAGTGAAATTCAAACTCAAAATGCCCTGATATATGCATGCAATCATGAAATGATCCTCCTTTCTAATTCATTAGCTCATCTCTTGCATAGCTTAGCTTAATTCTCAATAATTCTTGTATTAAAGTCTTGATTACAAAGTTTAAGGACAAAATTCTTACCTAGAGTCTTAATTGCACAAGTGTAGAAACTTCAACTCCTAATTTCTTTGCAAGTCTCCAACAATTCCTAACAATTCCCCATTTTCCTAGCGTTGAACTCAATTTTTCATCTCTCTCTCTCTCTCTCTCACGTTTTCTCTTCAAGGTAAGGCGATAGGAGAGTGTAGAGTGAGCTAATGAGTTCATATGGGCCTTATATAGGCTTAGTTTACGACTTAGTTAAATTTTGATTAAGCTACTCAATTAGACATTAATTATTTTAATTTAATCGTTCCGAATCGAATTTTAATTAAACCTACCAAAATGTTCTAAAAATCCTAAATAGCACATAAATCAAGTCAATTTCGTAATCAGATGTCAATAAGGCCTTCAATTCATAGAACGAAATAGAAATACAAACAGATATTTCTACGATAAACAGATATAAGCACAATAATGCGACACACACATGCAATTAATTCATAATTTCACCTTAATTATTGATTAGGCTTATTTATTCATGAATTAACGTTAATCAGAGGTCAGGATTGTTACAGTCATAAATGCTCCTATGTATTTTACACTTAGTCGTTTCATTAGTATTATTTCGTATCTCTCTCTCTATATATATATCTTCTCTCTCACTGTGACCACCATCATTACCACTATCTTTTAACACCAAACCCATTTCTTTCACCCATTTTCACAACCAAGTTCCATCATCACTACCATTAAGCTCTACGATCACCATCACCGTAAGCTCCACGTCACCATTGGATTATCACGACCACCATCCTCCAACTCCATCAAAACCAAGAACCACCCTTTACAAAGTGCTATGAAATAGCAGAAGAAGGCGGATAATGAAAAAGAAATAAATAGATTTGGAGATGTTTCTTTGGAATGTGTGAAGTTAGTTTTCGAACAACTTTCTGCATGCCAAAATCACCAATTTTAGGAAGAAATGACAAAACAAGGTGGCGTAGGATGAATTATAAGCAAGGTGAAGAGATTGTGAAAGAACGGGATAAATTTCTTAAGAATTGAGAAAATTATGGAGTCCGAAAGATGGGCTAAAGAAATGTTAGAAACTGGAAAAAAAATCTTATTTTTGGTCATCTTTCAAAGCTCCGATAGAACGCAAAAAAAACGGAATGAGGCGTGTGAAGAGTGATATGAAAACTAGGTCGTAAGGTGAATCTAATGAAGCAAAAATGAGGCAAAATAGAGTTACGACGAAAGAGATACAAGGGCTTGAAGCGGTGCGTTTGAATCTGAAAATCTGATCTTTTTGGGCTTGTTCGTGCATGTGGTTTGGAGAAGATATGTATGAATCCCATCAATGCTATTTCAAAAATCAAAATGTTTCCACATATTAATGTTTAATTCCATGGGTTGGGTTTGTTACTATTTTGAATCATGAGGAGCAAAGTGGATTTGGATAATTTTTAGAGAGAGAAAAGTGGGTTTGATTCCATGATGGTGGTGATGTTGGTTTGTTGTGATTTTGTATGGAAGGTAATGGTGGTAAGATGAGAGGAGAAATAAAGGGTGATGGTGGTGGTTATGCATGGAATATGATGGTGGTGATGTTGGTTGGTTGTGATTTTGCATGAAAGGTAATGATAGTAAGATGAGAGAAGAAATAAAAGGTGATGGTGGTGGTTTTGCATGGAATACGATGGTGGTGATGTAAGTTGGTTGTGATTTTGCATGGAAGGTAATGGTAGTGAGATGAGAGAAGAAATAAAAGGTGATGGTGGTGCTTTGCATGGAAGGTGATGGTGTTTCATATTTATCTAATGAAAGAGCGAGAAGAGGTGTTTTGGTCTAAGAGTGTAACCCACGCTCTGTTGCACTATACTTTTATGTTCGTAAAGCCCACATTTTGTTTAAATAAACAGATTCGTCAGAAATTACAGTTTGGTATTAAGTCTAGAGGTTTAAGTGTTACAAATGAAACTATAGGGGGGTTCCGTGCTTTCTGGGCAAACTACAGAGGGTTAAAATGTAATTTACCCAAAATTTTATGATATCACTTTTTAATACTTATAAAATTTATCATTAATTTGAGAATAATTTTCTAAACTTATACTAAAATAAAATTATCCCTTTTTTTGTAATGAAATGTTCACTTACCCAGACCAAAATAAATAAATAAATAATAAAATATTGTAGAACGCATACATTCCAAGATCTGAAGGTCCATAAGCAAACATGGAATATGATTTCTCAAAGAAGCTCCATGATCTTAAACTATTATGTTTTTTATTTATATATTTTTATTTTATTTTATTT